GTTTAAGGGGGCCGAATACTTTTGCAAGCCACTGTATATGTTAATAGGTTAGGTACTGACTTTGTATTAGGGTGGTCTCTCCAGGTGGGGAGGTGATAGTCACAGGAGGAATCTGGATGGAGGTTTGCCTAGTTCGTCTGACATTCCTCTGGTTATCTGAGTCTTCTATATGATCAGGAGGCCAGCTAGTGCCCCCAGAGCCTTGCTGGGGGGTGATAGCCAAGGACTCACCCTCTGAATCGCCAAACCTGTGCCAAAAGAAGAGATATAATCTTAGTTCCTCTACTGTGTACTGTGTAATGTTGTGACTTCTGCAGGAATTTTTCCTTGTTCTGGTTGAGACTCAAGGAAACTCTGGTTCACACATTATGCCTATAACTAGGCATTTTAAATTATGGGTGCTCCATGCCAACTGTGCAGAAATAAAATATAAATAGTAAGACAGCAGGAATGAATAATAAACAGGAGAAATATATAAAATTAAGGGGAATATATACAAACTAGTAGAATATATTTCAAACAAGAGAGACGTACATTGGAAAACAAAGTGCTTGGAAGTAGTGCAAAGAACTTGGTCTAACTAGAGTCTGTGTGTGGGTGGCTCGAGTGATGAGGGTTACTCAAACCATGGCTCAAATTGGTGAGGTGAGTTGTCAGAGGCAGAGTGTGAGCGGATAGTGTTTGTTATCAGTCCGAATTGCCCAGGGAAGAAGCAGGTTGTGAGTCTGGAGGTGTAGGACCTGTGCCGACCAGAGGGCAGCGGGTTAAACAAATGGTCCTGTTTTTTTTTGTTTTTGATACAGGAAGCTCCGGTGATGGCCTCCAGGGTAGCAGAGGGTAGCCAATTTTTGGGGCAGTGTTAATTACCCTCATTTTTATTGTAGATAAGAAATGTTATAAATTTATTGCTGAACACTTATAGGTAACCTCCCTGGGCTCAAATTCCAAGCTCCAGCCTTTTTATAGTGTCACTGTCAGTGTCACTGTGTAGCTGAAATCAAATAGTGAACAGAACAACAGTATTACCATATATAACCATAGTTTTTACCTCTGACTATGGGTCTTCTCTCTGTTATTAGACTCTGTGGAGTGTCCCCTGGATGCGTGAATGCGATGCCTTCTCTCTCCACTGGCACCACTGACTCCTCTGGAATTCCTATCTCCATTCCTGTTAGACAAATGTCCATCTTTGTGGCGAGATCTTCGCTCTCCCCTCCCTCCACTACTCACTGTCCCGTTGCCACCTCGGGACTGCCGGTGTGAATGATGATGGTGGTGATCTCTCTCGCCTACGTTCCCCCAACCTGCACTGTCATCCACTGAACACTGATGGCGGTGGTTCCTGCCTCCCTCCCGGCTGTGGGACCTCTCACTCTTCCCCCGTTTGTCCCGGCTGCTGTCATGGTTTTTGGAGCGGCTGTGATGGATGTGATGTCTCCCATCTTTAGTGCTATCACCATTATCATTGGTTTCCTGTTTTCGTTCTCTGTCTCGGTGGTAGTGGTGATGGCGGGGCTGGTGAGGCACAGAGGGAGGTGGGTCCGTGGCAGTGTCAGCCTTCTCTGACAAGCAAGTCTTCTTGTGGTGGTGCTGGCTGCTGCCACTGTGGGGCTCAACAACCAACGGCCGGTCAAGGTGAGTCTTCATGTCTGGCCGCATGTGTAGGGCTGACGATATGTGCAGTCGCTCTTCTGAAGTTAGCTCACTGTACAGCGCCTCACAGCTTGCGTGGTTCTGTTTTCTCAGTTGGCTGGCTCTTTGTTCCCACACCGACATTGTCTTCACTGACCTCTGCTGCTCCTTACTAGAGAATGGAAAAAGAAGACAAATTATAACCACTGTAACATTAATTTTACAACCTAAAATAGTGTATATATTCTGAATCATCAACATCAACTTTTAAACCAATGCAATAGTCACAATAATCTGTAAGTTCAGCAAATGATAAAACCAATTCCAATGGACAGGTAGAGTATCCATTGTGACAAATTCAGTATGTATGCATTTTATTATTCATAGCACATAAAATTAGCTGTATACGCTATTCAGTGTTGGGAAGGTTACTTTTAAAATGTATTACACTACAGATTACAGAATACATGCACCAAAATGTATTTTATAACGTATTCCGTTACGTTACTCAATGAGAGTAAAGTGTTCTGAATACTTTGGATTACTTAATATATTGTCATGCTTTTTTACAACTACATGAATGTACTGTTGCTGTGTGATTTTTTTTACTATTACTGAAGGTTACTTGCCATACCAATACCAACTAGATTTTTAAATGTTAATATAAACCTACTCCGTGCGTATATAAAACAGGTCCATAGTAAAGGGACCTCTGGCTAATACGTCAGGTTCATGTCGGGCTCGTAGCCGAAAACTAGCTTTACTTTGTTGTCTGGGTCAACTTTGCTAGCGAGAGATAGAGAGAGGCGCTGAAAAGCTGGAACTTATTGTTTTGGAAGAAAACACGAACACAGTGTACAGTTGAGTCTTAATTGCTTACTTACAACTGGGCTTGTCAGGCACTCTTTTTTGGCTGCAGCGGTTTTTATTATATTTACATGCTTCCATCTCCCGTTTCTGCTCGGTGACAACTTGTACTTTCGACTCTCCTTTTTCTCCCTCCCTCGCTCACAGACACATAACGGGTATGACAGTCCATTCTCCCTGCAGCACGGACTACACTGCCCATGACGCTACACATTCTTTAGGGCTATGCCTCAAACACTCTGCCTATTGCCTTCGTATTACATAATTTTTTGAATAATAATTTTTACAAATATTTCTTCACGTCATTTATGTGGGCCACAAGTAGAGGTGACGTGATTGAGACACACAGTCTCTTAATGAGTGTTTTGCTTGGGTCCAAAAATAGAGAGGACATGGCCTAAAATATGAAACAGGAAAAAAACGCCCTGTAATCTATTTATTTCAACAAAGTAACTGTCGTGTGTCTAGGAGTAAATCTTTGGATGAAAGGAAAGCTTATCTTAAAGAGAATAATATTTGCTTTAAGTGCTGTGCTTCATTCACTCATCTAGCAAAAGACTGCCACAAAACCGTTCAGTGCAGAGAGTGCAAGAGTGAGAACCACCCTACTGCGCTACACCCAGGGCCGGCCCCCTGGATATCAGAGACTCCGGTAACCACAAGAGAGCAAGGCGGGGAGCAAGGAGAAGAAGCTCCTCAAGCTGTCACAGCAAAATGCACAGACATTTGTGGGACTACCGTCAGAGCAAAGCCGTGCTCCAAAATCTGTCTTTTCAGAGTTTATCCAGCTGGCCACAGGGAGAAAGCTGTTAAGGCGTACATTGTTCTCGACGAGCAGAGCAATAAGTCCTTGGCAAGAACAGAGTTTGAGCTCTTTGGAGTTACAGAGGGCACAGCAGCATACACCTTGAAGACCTGCTCAGGAGTTATTGAAACAACAGGGCGCCGAGCCAACAATTTCATCATGGAGTCATTAGATGGCAAGACAATTCCCCACCTTAATCGAATGTGACATGCTCCCTGATGATAAGTCTGAAATCCCCACACCTGAGATCGTCAGACATTATCCACATTTCAAGCGGGTTGTGGATAAAATTCCGGCTATAGATCCATCAGCAAGCATCCTGATCTTGCTCGGTCGAGATGTACCACAGGCACACAAGAGTGATACAATGGGCCCCACGATGCCCCCTACGCCCAGCATCTCGACTTGGAATAGGTGATTGTGGGAAAGGTTTGTCTCAGAAAAGCCCACAAACAAGAGTTTGTAAACGTCTATCAGTGCAACGTGCTGAGTAACGGTCGTACATCTCTGTTCGACCCTTGCACTAACAGTCTACTTATCAAAGAGAAGCTTGACACTCCAGAGCAGCATCGTCAGTTTCCAGGAGCTAACGCATCCGAAATCCTGTTTGATGGGAAAGACAGCCTTGGTAAAGGGGTCTTCCTGCAAACGCCACACGACAACAAGCCTGCTACGTCTGTGGAAGACAAAGTCTTTCTGGAAATATTGGACAACGAGGTCTTTATGGATGACTCGAATAGTTGGGTGGCACCACTACCCTTCAGGTAACCAAGGTGCCAACTCCCTAACATCCGAGCCCAAGCAGTCAAGCGTCTTTTGACATTACGGCACATGCTGGAGAAGAAGCCAGACATGAAAGAACACATGATTGCCTTCATGCAGAAGATCTTTGAGGCAGGTCATGCTGAACCAGTACCACCACCCACATTCACACTGGTGGACAAGAGTGCTGGTATTTGCCAATATTCGGAGTGTATCATCCGCGCAAACCAGGTCAAGTACGGGCAGTGCTCAACTCCAGCACTAAGCATGATGGCGTCTCACTGAATGACATCCTGCTGAGTGGCCCTGACTTGAATAGTTCACTTTTAGGAGTCCTCATCTGCTTCCACAAGGAACCTGTAGCAGTGGCAGCAGACACAGAACAGATGTTCTATTGCTTCAAAGTCCACCATGATCACCAAGACTTCTTACATTTTCTCTGGTTCGAGGACAATGACCCCACCAAGCGCATCACGGAGTATAGGATGACCGTGCACATATTCGGCAACAGCCCCTCTCCCGCTGTTGGCATATACGGCTTGAGAAGAGCAGCTCTGCAAGGACAGGAAGACCACAGTGCAGAGGCAAAACAGTTTGTTCTAAAGAACTTCTACGTGGACAGTAGTCTTGCTTCCTTCCCCACCGATGACAACGCCATCCGAGTCCTGAAGGAAACCAAGGAGATGTTGGCTGATTCCAACATACGGCTATATAAGATAGCCTCCAACCACGACGTAGCAGTGGAGGCGTTTCCACCTGAGGAACGTGCTAAAGAGCTGAAAGACCTAGAGCTAGGTGTGGATCCGTTGCCTATGCAGAGAAGCTTAGGTCTCAACTGGCACCTTCAAACTGACAGCTTTACCTTTCTTGTCTCCCAGGAGGAGAAGCCCTTTACCCGTAGAGGTATTTCCTCCACAGTTAACAGCATATTCGACCCGTTGGGGTTTGCAGCTCCTAGGGCAAGGCTATAGTCAGAGAGCTATGCACTGAGCATTGCGATTGGGACAGCCCAATACCTGCTGAAAAAGTGGCACAGTGGATGTCTTGGAGAGACTCACTGAAGGCACTCGAGCAAGAGGAAGTCTGGAAAAACAAAAAATGTCCAACTTACCTGCTGATTGGTTGACCCAATCTCCTCCTTTCACCCAAGTTGGTTTGGGAAAAAATGATAGGGATGACTCGCCGCACTTTGGATAGTATGTTGCTCAAGATGCATTCCCCTAGTCTTTCACACAAAGTGCTCACCACGCTGATGGCAGAGGTCGCAGCCATCATGAAGGCCCGGCCAATAGTCCCTGTATCTTCCAATCCAGACATCCCAACCATACTCACCCCTGCTATGCTTTTAACACAAAAGGTGGACTCTGTGTCTGCTCCTTTGGAAGACATTGACCTCAAGGATCTCTACCAAAGTCAGTGGAAGCAAGTTCAAAGCCTTGTGGATTCCTTCTGGAAAAGATGGCGTCAAGAGTACCTGATGACACTCCAGCCGAGAAGGAAATGGCAAGCAGAACAAGCCAGCCTGCAAGTTGGAGATGTTGTGCTCCTAAAGGACAAAGAGGTTAAACGAAATCAATGGACCACAGGACTTGCGGTAAATACCTTTCCGGGTCAAGACAGCAGGTTCCGGAAAGTGGAGGGGAGAGTTGTTCAAGGAGGCACCCCCAGGGTGTATTCGAGACCCACCACTGAAGTTGTGCTGTTACTAAGAGGGACATAGTGGTATAGTACTCTATACCAGGCAGGGAGTGTGCTGCCCCTTTAAGGCAGGCATGATAATTTGGGTGTGTGCTTTTTGTACCAGCCGACTTGCCGTAGTACCTCACCAGGGAAAAACAGTCCTTTAGCCAAACTGTTGTCTGTTCCACTTTTCGTTTGCTTTTTCTTGCTGAGCCTGAGAGAGCACATGCCTGTAAGTAGTTGCTATCTGTTTTGTAAGATTTCCAGCGTTAGTTTTGTGTAGCAGTTTAGAGTTTTGTGTTAGAAACTTTCTTTTGTGAGGAACAACGACCGCGATGCTAACACGTTAGCCCGTCTATGGGATTTCCTATGTAATGTTAGCATTAAGCTAATAGCTAAATGCGTGGGCCTAATAAACAGTGAAGGGGTCTAGATATGCTCGTGCTTATGTGTTATATACATTGTAATTCATGGCTTAATGTTTGATGTTGTAAAGAAAATGCAATTACAGCAGAAATGTAATATTTTATTATTGTTTCCATACCAGTTTTACAGTGCTTCTACAGTAAACATCTAAAACTTATCCGTTGACTCCTGGATGTTTATTGTGGACCTGTTAGCTATCTGCCAAGCTAGAAACCAGCTTCACACCCTAGTGAGGGCAGACTAGTAACTATATTCTGAATATCACCATTTAAAACAGTAACTGTAACGGCATACAGTTACTCATATTTTGTATTTTAAATACGTAACGCCGGTACATGTATTTCGTTACTCCCCAACACTGACTCTAGTTTACATCATGGCACACAGAGTACCTACATGCAAAATAATTTACTGTATGACCAAGGTGCAATGGAGCTTTCAACAACAAGCTAAATTTATCACAGTATACTGTGGAGACAGCTCATTGATGAATATGCCTCAACAGGCCAAGCATGGCTACGTTACCATGCTTTGACATCCTATGATTTTTTGTCAATTTGTGTTTAATACGGACTTTGAAATGGCCGGAAGCATACACTGTTCAAAGTGTATGACCTACACTGAACCATTTAGATTTTAATAATGGGAAATTATATATTTCAGTGTCATTAATGTCTGGAAGCCAATCTGATCACAGCACAGTTAAGGACAAACTTTATCCCAGGTTTTTAATATGCCATCGTCCTGCAAGTGTATTCCTTGTGCTCAACACATTGCACTACACTCCTGTTAAGAGGTGGATGGAAAACATGGAACTGGACTTGTTGGATGAACAGAAAGCCTGCAACATAGTATGCATGATGAGAATGCAGGGCAGCTGTTTTACTTAAGTATTCTTGCTTTCAGAATGTCAATGATGACACTATGATCATGTATGCATGTAACTGGCACTGTCATCCACCTTGTTCACAGACAACTGGGTTTTTACCTCAGGTAGTGATGGACTGGGGTGCAGACATAACTCCTACAAACACATAAAGGGAGCAACATTGAAATACACAGAGGGAGAGAAGGAATTTCAAATGGACAGAAAAGGCAAGAGCACAGAGAAGGCAAATTAGCTTTAGGGAAACTCATAGGAGGAGGAACATGTAGATCAAAGACACTAAATTGTACAAGGAGAATGTTTTTCCTGAAAGTGAGCAAGCGAACAAGTGAGCAATTTAGGTGTTCAGAGAGTGCACAAAAAAACTTGGAAGAATTAGAAGTCATCAACATTTGGGCCATATATACTTACAATACATAGCTTTTTGTTAGACCATAATGCTATAGTATAGATAATATAATGATTAGAAATCTACCCTCTGGTCCTATAACTGTGTTGAGTACTGTGAAATAATATTTTATTGTGTTAAAATTGCTACTCCCCTTTGTCTAGAGCAGGGGTAGGCAACCTTTCTGATGGCGAGTGCCATTTAAAATTTCCTCAGAGGTCAGTGTGCCATATGATTGCATTAGCAATAAATTTAATAACACTCTATATTAACAGTTACACACTATATAGAACCACTTTATAGAATTATATTTGTTCACAGATGTTTGCAGCTATCAGCAAATAGTTATCAGCTATTTTGAAACAAAAAAAGACACTTTTTATCCATAACAATACAATACAATACAATTTTATTTATATAGCACAATTAAAAACCCGAAGGCACACCAAAGTGCTTCACAGTAATATGGAGAGTCAACATAAGTCAATAACAGGGTACAAATCGGGCACTAGCACAGACAGGATAGAGGCACTAACAGACCAGGAGAGTTAGATAAATACAAAATCTGCTAAGAAGACAAAAACAGCAGTAAAATTAATAAAAAATAATAAATTTAATAAAAGATTTAAAAGTTTAAAATTTAAAAGATTTAAAAGGTCAGGAACTGGTTAGGAAAGCAAAGTCAAATAAATATGCTTTTAATCTTGATTTAAAGGATTGGATAGAGTCCAAGGCTCGAATAGAAGCAGGGAGGCTATTCCAAAGGTTGGGTGCAGCTGAAGCAAAGGCACGATCGCCTCTGGTCTTCATTCTAAACTTAGGTTGGGCCAGGAGTAATTGACCTGATGATCTTAATGCATGACAAGGAGTGTACAAATTGAAGAGGTCAGTGAGGTAGCTGGGCGCAATGTTATTCAGGATTTTAAAAGTGAGTAGCAAGATTTTAAACTCAATGCGATATTTGATTGGCAACCAGTGTAGATCAACAAGAGCCGGAGTAATAGGGTCAAATTTTCTAGTTCCAGTAAGAAGGCTAGCCGCAGCAGCAGAGAAGGTTTGGAGACCACAGTAGAGAGAATTACAATAATCTAACCCGGAGGTCACAAAAGCGTGGATAAGTTTTTCCAGGTCCCTGTGTGGTATATAATGCTTAGCTTTAGAAATCTGGCGCAGTTGAAAAAAAAAACAGATTTAACTACAGATGATACTTGCTTATCGAGCTTAAAGGAGCTATCCAAATAGACACCCAGGTTACGCATAGAATCAGAGAGAGAGTTAGCTAGGGGCTCCAGCAGGGCAACAAGCTGGTCTCGAGGAATATGGCTGTCGAACACCATAACTTCAGTTTTTTTCTCATTTAAAATGAGAGAATTTTCTGACAGCCAATCTTTAACCTCTCTCAGGCAATTGTACAGGGAGTTCAGTGATGCTGACAAATCATCAGTCAGTTGACAATAGATTTGAATGTCATCAGCGTAAAAGTGATAAGAAATATTGTATTTTTCAAATATGGAGCCCAAGGGTAGCATATACAAAGAGAATAATAAAGGGCCCAATACAGACCCCTGGGGCACACCACAGCAGAGAGGGGCAACAGAGGAAGAGTATCCTCCCATCACAACAGAGAAGGATCTATCTGTGAGGTAAGAATTAAACCAGTTAAGGGCAGAACCCTTGATGCCTACAACATGCTCTAGCCTCCTCAAGAGTATATTATGATGAACCATGCCAAAGGCTGAAGACAGATCCAATAAAACTAAAACGGTAGGGCGACCAGAGTCAGCAAATACAAGAAGATCATTATAGACTCTTAGCAGTGCCGTTTCAGTGCTATGGTGTGGCTTAAAGCCAGACGGGTATTTGTCAGTGATATTATTTGCAACTAAGTAAGCCTGTATTAGGAGAAAGATGGCTTTGTCTAAAATTCTTGATAAAAACGGAAGCTTCGAGGTTGGCCTATAATTGGCAGGGTCTTTCTGATCGAAATTACTTTTTTTAAGAACGGGGTGCACTGCCGCATGTTTAAAGGCAGTCGGGACACAGCCCACAAACAAAGATAAATTCATTAAGAATAAGATGCAAGGCCCAATTTCCTCAAAACTTTCCTTGATAATTCGGGATGGAAGGATATCGTGCACAGAATTTGAGTTTCTCAGTTGTTCAATTATTACCTTAAGAGTGAGGAGTGATAACAGCTCAAAGTGAGAAAGGTGGACATGCATCCTAAAGCACAAGAGAGTGAGAGTGTGAAGCCTTCAGTAATAAAACTTTTCCACTAAAATGATTAAGAAATTGCTCACAGAGAGCCTGAGGCTACATCCACACGTACCCGGGTATTTTTGAAAACGCAGATTTTTCTATGCTTTGCACCTTTCGTCCAGACGTAAACGGCGTTTTTGGTCACTGAAAACAGAGATTTTTAAAAACTCCG